GAGCCATTATTCAGGATCGCTCCATAATATGTGAGTGCACATTTCTATATTGATTTATTGCTTAATTTAATTGGTTTGGCATTCTAAACTATATATTGTGATTTTCTTTCACATATCTACGAGAAAACCTGTGGCAAACCTAGCCACTTTTAGGTTACTGGACTATATGTGCAAAAGGTTGTCTGTAATAGCCGCTGGATTGTATATTATAATGTCTGTCTGTGCTGATATGTTTAGAGTATTCGTGTGCTAGCAGCCAAAAGCCGCTAGCATTCATGTGTTTCATTTCACGAACAGAGACTTTACCGGCTGTTCGTGAAACGAATGAGCTACCACCCAGTAGCCCACACACAGAGGGTCGTGTGGCACTCATTAACCGACTGCAACATTGTTGCAATCGGTAGTTAAGGGCTTTCCTAGGTGGCCGTCGTTCGGCTACCGACCACGCGGCTGGCGGCCATCTTGGATCCTTTGTTCACCCAGTGGTGTTTGGTCATCAAGCGCGTGGAGCTGAAATTGGCTACTCGACGGCGCGAACACCGCTGGGCTTCCAGGCCGTTCGGGAGCTCCGGTCTTTCCCTATTCTGGTTCCCCCATCGGTGTTCGGTACTTTTAGGTGAACACAATGTCAAAGTGTATTTTGTGCAGCATTCGGTTATTTAGACTGGGATCTGAGCGGTATTCTCACGAGGTGTGTCAAGGTGTGTGTATGTGTCAGTGTCTGTATCTGTGTGTTAGGGTGTATTCATGTGTCATTGTGTGTGTATATTTGTGTGTCAGTGTATTCATATGTGTCAGTGTGTGTGTATGTGTCAGTGTGTATATGAATGTGTGTGTATGTGACAGTGTGTTTATAAGTGTGCATCCGTGTGTGTTAAGGTGATTGTATATCTGTGAAAGTATACATGTTTGTGACAATGTATGTGTGCGTGTGCATACATCCCAGAAATCAAACGTATACACTTCACACCAGCACACCCCTGCAATCAAAAATAAACATTACATACAAACACACCCCTGTATTAAATGCCAAAATTATTATATAGACACCCCATTATTCAGACGCCAACACTACACATAAAAGCACGCCTGCATTTAAAAGCCAACACTAGATACAAACACACCCCTGACTTCAAATGCAAACACTGTACACAAGTACACCACTGCATAGGCGCAGCCTATTGCATTACGGTGTGTACCCTAAAGCACAAGCACACGCCGCGTGTATATGTATGTATATATATATATATATATATATACACACACATATATATATATACACACACACACACACACATACATACACTGCAGTGTGTGCTGTGTGAGGGTGCTGGTAGTATGATTTGTGTGTGTGTGGGTGCTGTATGTGTGTGGGTGCTGTGTGTGTGTGCTGTTTGTGTGCTGTATGTGTGTGTGTGTGGGTGCTGTGTGTGTGTGGGTGCTGTGTGTGTGCTGTGTGTGAGGGTACTGGTAGTGTGTTGTGTGTGTGTTCGTCAGGGTCCTGTTAGTGTGCTGTGTGCGGGTGTCATGTGCTGTGTGAGGGTGCTGTTTGTGTGCTGTGTGCTGTGTGTGGGTGTTGTGTGTATGTGAGGGTACTGTTTGTGTGCTGTGTGTGGGTGTTGTGTGTTTGTGAAGGTACTGTTTGTGTGCTGTGTGTGGGTGTTGTGTGTTTGTGAGGGTACTGTTTGTGTGCTGTGTGTGTGCTGTATGTGTGGGTGATGTGTGTGTGGGGGTGCTGTGTGTGCTGTATGTGTGATGTATGTGTGTGTGTGCTGTATGTTTGGGTGATTTGTGGGGGTGGAGGTGGGGGCAGATTAGTTAATAAATATCCCCCCTCCCTTCTTAACTTATGTAGGGAGGGGGGACCGTGCTGCTGCCTTCCTTGGTGGTCCAGTGGAGGTGGGGGCAGATTACTTAATATCCCCCCTCCCTTCTTACCTTACGTACGGAGGGGGGATCCTTGTTCCTGCTGCCTTCCCTGGTGGTCCAGTGGTGAGTGAACTCTCCCCTGCCGGTCTCAATCCATAGGCGTGCACAGGATGTGCCGGGTATGCCGGGTGTGCCGGTCTCAATCCATAGGCACACCTGGCACATCCCGTGCGCATGCCTATGCACCACTGCATTCCAATGGCAACAGTATATAGAAATGCATATACTCTACACACATACTCTATACAAAAACATGTTTACATTCAAATGCACAAACATTGCTCACAAATGCAACTTTGCAAGGATGGGCAAATGGTAGATTCCCTTGTTGGCATGTTGTGGGAATAGTACAACAGATGGAGATCTACCTTTTGGCCACCCTCGTGCTTGAGAGGGGAGGTGGGGCAAAACAACGCTTGCACCGGGGCCCCCTACTTTAGTTCCAGCACGGAATAAGGGTAGAGATATAAAAAGCAAAACAACAACAACAACAAAAAAAACAGTTGTCAAAATATGTGCTTGGGGATTATTGATAAGGCAAATGTTGCTTTTTTAGAATTGCCCTCAAGAAAGATCACTTCGAACAATAAAATGGCTTATAATGGGAGTCACAATATGGACATTTCTGGTAGCATATAGTTGACATAAAGTTTTGCTTAAAAAAATCAGAAGATACATTGGTCTGGATTTTTTACATTAAGTTTGATATTATGCTGGCTTTGAAATGGCTGTAATAATGGCTAAAATAACATATTTTGGTAAACTGTACATTTGGGCAGCATCTATAACTAATGTATGGATATGGGAAGTAAGAATATCAGAAAAGAATAATGGACTACTTGGAAAACTCATTAGATCCTAGATATTTTCCCTTAGGTAGGGACAATATATTATCAGCTGTCTCTTTTGGAGAAAAGAGTGCTAGGGGAGTTTGTGTTTGGCAGTCGATAACGTAGGCTGAGAAACTAGGTCCAAAAAAAGCATTAATGTAATCAATAGGTGGCTGGGGTGTGAGGGGGCCCTTTTCCAAGTTATATACAATACAATTATATATAATTCTCATGATATGTGATAAATACTTTGCGTATCTGGTCTGGGTTATAATTTTGCTTTACCTTATAATGGCCTCAATTTAATATGTTTGAATAAGCATGTCAAATGATTTAATATTTTAAAAACTATTTATATATTTTCATATGTCTATCTATTAATATAGTTTTCTATATTATAGATTATTTTTAATATATTTTAAGATTTTGAAAAAAGTTATTTTACGTTTTCCCAAAAATGTTAAATAATTTGACAAGCTGATACAAAAATATTAAAGGGACGCTATAGTCACCAGAAAAACTACAGCTTGATATAGTTATATTTTTTCTATAACCTGTCCCTACAGGCTTTTTAATGTTAACACTGCCTTACTCTGAACAATTACATATATTAATAAAATACACGTTAATATACATGTACATTTCTATAGCTCCTATGCACTTGCTACAACCCCTTTACCAACGCTCAATGCATCACGGCAGGCGGGACAGTAAGTGATGGCAGCACTTTGTCTGACGTAAGGTGCATATATATGGCTGAAGGATCCCCCTCGAAGAGTTTTTGTTTTATATAAATATAGTTACATTTTATTGTTTTTAAAATCTTTTTCCTTTTAAAACTTGATGCAAGTATTATATTAAAAATCGTTTTGAGCTTACAGTTGTCACTTATTAAAGGAACACTATAGTCACCTTAACAACTTTGGCTTAATGAAGCAGTTTTAGTGTATAGATCATGCTTCTCAGGTTTCACTGCTCAATTCACTGCCATTCAGGAGTTAAATCACTTTGTTTCTGTTTATACAGCCCTTGTCACACCTCCCCTGGCTCTGACTGACACAGTCTGCATGAAAAAAAAAATGGTTTCACTATAAATCAGATGTAATTTACCTTAAACAATTGTATCTCTTTCTCTGTAAATTGAACTTTAATCACATACAGGAGGCTCTTGCAGGGTCTAGCTAACTGTTAACATAGCAGGGGATAATAAAATCTAAATTAAACAGAAGTTGCAATAAAGGAAGGATAAACTTTAGATGACTCTTTACAGGAAGTGTTTAGGAAGGCTGTGCAAGTCACATGCAGGGAGGTGTAGCTAGGGCTGTATTAATAAAGTGATTTAACTACTAAATGGCAGAGAATTGAGCAGTGAGACTGCAGGGACATGATCTATAGACCAAAACACCAAAACATTAAGCTAAAGTTGTTTTGGTGACTATAGTGTCCCTTTAAATTCTGTATGTGCAGCGTTTCATAGCAAGCCGTTACACATATAAACTCAAAGCACTCTGACCACCTAAAATCATTGAGATGGTCATGGTGTTTGGTGTAGATTAAGGATTTTTAAGATGTTGAAGATAGGATATATACAGACCTTTAAGATAATATGTTAGGAGCGTCATATAGTATTATGACAAAAACTATGCTAAATAGAAGTGAAATATTCAGTGAAGATAAATTGATCAGGAGCTTAGGTAACCAAATTTATCTAGTAGATATATATGAATTCCTTGTGTGGTGGAACAATATCTAAAAACATTTTACATGTATCTCTATAGGGCAGATGTTGAGTAGAAGTGAGAGAGGTCAAATTAGGGTACCCAGAACATGGGGGGGGGGGGGGAATCGTGATATTATCAAATGTTCTGTAGTAGAGCTTCCACAAATATCGCAACTGTGCTGCAGGACTCGGGACCAGGGCCGGACTGGCCCACCGGGATACCGGGAAATTTCCCGGTGGGCCGCGGCACCTGGGGGGCCGGAGAGAGAGAGGGAGCCCTGCTCCACATATTTTAATAATATTGCGGCCGCCGGCCGCATGTCGGTGCCGCCGGGTGGCCGGTCCGGCGGCACACTCTGAGGTGATTACTCACCTTGCGGCCGGCGGCCCCGTCAGGATCAGTGAGTGTGCCGGGCGGCCGTCTAAGCGATCCAGCGGCACACTCACTGATACTGAGAGCCATGCGGCTGTCAGCACAGGAGGTCTGAGGGAGGGGGCGGAGCTAGCTAGTAGCTACCATGCTCCCTCGCGGTTCCCATAATTCCCAGCATCTACACATCACAGAGTAGGGATTACTCTATGATGTGTAGATGCTGGGAATTATGGGAACCGCGAGGGAGCATGGTAGCTAGCTCCGCCCCCTCCCTCAGACCTCCTGTGACAAGGTAAGCAGGCACACAGAAGGGGAAGGGGGGGAGACAAATAGAGGGGAAGGGGGGGAGACAAATAGAGGGGAAGGGGGGAGACAACTAGAGGGGAAGGAGGGAGACAAAGAGAGAGGGGAAGGGGGAGACAAAGAGGGAATAGAGGGGAAGGGGGAGACAAATAGAGGGGAAGGGGGAGACAAATAGAGGGGAATGGGGGGAGACAAATAGAGGGGAATGGGGGGACAAATAGAGGGGTAATAGAGAGACACCAGGGAAGGGGGGACAAAGAGACAGAGGGGTAATAGGAGGTTGGGGGGACAAAGAGAGGGGTAATAGAGAGACACAGGAGAAGGGGGGACACAGAGACAGAGGGGTAAGAGAGAGACACAGGGAGGAGTTGGGGAAGAGAGACACACGGAAGGTTTGTTGGGGGGACAAAGAGACATGCAGTAGGGAAGGGGAACAAAGTGACACAAGATTTGTGGGAAGCAACGCTGGGCTGGGGAAAAAGAGACAGAGTGGCTGGGGCTAAGAACAACACAAAAGGGGCTGAGGGAAAGAGAAATACAGAGGCTGGAGAAGGGTAAAAAGAAACACACAGGGACTGGGATGAAGTAAAAGATGCACAAGGGTCGCTGTAAGAGAAAAAAGGAGAGAATTGGAGACAAGATACACTAAACGAGGTAAAGGTAATAGACGTAACTTGATGTGATCCTGACAGTAATACACACATATATATATATTATATGCATGTATATTGATGTGTGTATTAGTAACATATAATTATGCCTATAATATTTACACATATAGTAATATACATTTATTTATGCATAATACACACATAAATGTCATTAAATATGTCAATATATATATATATATATATATATATATATATATATATATAGCACGTATTGGCCCTGTCTTGTTGCTAGTTGCATACTCATGCACAATAACATATTCAAAGTGAAGAGCGCACCCATAGAACTTCAAAATAAACAAGATCACTTCATTTTTTAGTTGTGCAACTGCAGACATTCAGCATTTCAGTACCATTACTAAAATGTCCTTAATAGGCCAAAGTAGTTGTACTGAAACATTACATGCAAATGTACGTCTACTTAAAATAAAGGCGCTCTTTTGTTTATTTTGAAGCCCTATATGCGTTCCTTCGTTGGAGTAAGAGTTTTCACTTTCAAGTTATTTTTTCACCCTCTTTATCAGCACACTATGCTGGCGCGATGCATTATTGGGCTGGTATAGAATCTTTTTCCAGGGCTGATTTTAGGTCCCAGTCCGGCCCTGCTCGGGACGTCAAATAATTAGATATTGCACTTTATTTTAATACCTTTTTTGTTGGAGTAATGGTAAGGAACATGAATAAACCGATATCACAACAGGATGCTACTTGTCTTCCAAAACATATCTAGAACTGAAATAAGATGTAATCCCTTATGTTATAGAAAAACATGGAAAAAGTTAACAATTCAGTAAATAAACTAAACTGGATTTAAAGGTGTACTTCTAGCACTATGACCACTTCACTTCTGGGCTGCTAATGTCAGCAGTGTTCATAGCATGGTGGCAATGGACGGCCAGTGCTACCCAGGATCCTTCAGGATTGGACTTTAGGGAGAACTCGGCCTTAGAGACTGATTGCAGCAAACTCAACTTTTTTTTGGTTTATTTTAATTACAGAGGGTGGTTTATGCCAGCAAGGCAGTTTTGGTTGAAGTAACCCTTTAAATAGAGAATAATACCTAAATCCTACAGATTTCAAGTGTGGGAGTTAATATTAAACATTTCCAAATTATTTATTTATTTTAGGTCACTATGTGTGTCTATTACTGGCTATTTTCTGTTTTGTTACATATACTCAGCACCAACTGAAGTCTGGACGATTCCAAGCCAGGATCTTCCAAAGAATAGTTTTATTGAACTTAATACACACAATAATCAGCGCAATCTGCTTTTTGTGTTTTGTTTTGTTTGCGTAGTTTACATAATTTTGTCAGTAACTGGTTCAGAAGTCGGGGTATGTTTGGTTGAAAATGTTGGGGTGGTGCAAGAAGTAGCATCTGTACCCTCTAGATTGCTGCCAAACTTCACCCCCTTTACATGTAAGTTTAAACAAAAAGTTCAAGCTTTTATTATACTTAACATTTATTATAAATACATGTACTGGTGCGAAAGCTGTTTTGGTGACATTCGTGATTGAATTAGCCCGAGAGAGTGCGTGATACATTTTCTTATCCTTTCTCTGAAAACGGTTTCACAGAAATGGCTAGACACACATAAAATGTATTGATATTTGGCCAACAAGATTCACTGAGTTTTCCTAGAAAAAAAAATCTACATGGATTTCAGCATAATATATCCAGTTGACAAAGTAAGACCGCAAGATCGAACTAGCAAGTGTCTTTGGCAATAACGTCTGGGCAAATTTTTCAAAATGAAGTATTTTTCTTCAAAATACATAAAGCAGTGTTTGTTTGCTGTAAACTGTACACACTTAGTTACCGGGAGGTGAGAAAGTTGGCCCGGAGGTAGATAAGACGTCTTAACCAATCAGAGGTCCATAAATACATGCATGAATAACTGCTGTATGATTCAATAACAAATTCAGCAAAGATGAGTTGGTAAAAATAATGAATGAACAGACAGGAGTAGAGAAGGTTCTCGAATCCAGTTGTGATTGCCAGCAGACTGCATCTGTAATCTGGACATTTAATCTGTCCTGCTTTAAGGTATCTGTGGGAAGATATAATTGAGCTTTGATATACAACAATCTGCAAGGAATTTTTCTATTTGGTATAGAGCAGGAATAGTACGCCTGTGATTTTAGGCAGTATACAAGCCCAATAGTTCCCAGTCAGTCTTTTGGTTAATTTGTTTATCTGATGCCAACAGTAGGCTTAAAGGCTTACTCTGTGAATCATAACCACTACAGTGTAGTGGTTATAATTCCAGAAGTACCCTGATCAATTTCCCCGGTAATGGGGCAAACTGTTTTATAATGGTTTTCCCTCTTACCTGGGTCCCCGCTGGCCTCCAGTGGCCAGTGATGACATCTGGCTTCTGCAGAGTTGCAGAAGTCGGAAGTCGATCTCGCCGGCCATTCATTGGCTGATCACTCTCAGCCAATGAGTGCAACTCTACTTCCGTGCTGGTCTGGATAATGACAACCTAATGACCGTGCCAGAGGTGGAGGTTGGAATTGCTAAGCGAAACATTGCACATGCAGACTCCAGGCAACATGACCACTTGAAATCACTGAAGTGATCATGATGCTCGGAGTAACGCTTTAAGAACTGCAATCAGAACTACTGAAAATTTGTGGCAATCAACACTATCCGCAAATGCAATAGTTTTCATAGAGAAGCACTGAATCTAGTACTGTGTGTAATGATGCTCTAGAAAAAGGTATTAATGAGGAAGCACATTGAATGACTATCTGACAGCTTCTAAAGGCATGTTTTTGGCAAAATCTAAATATTGCCATTTATCAGAAACTGCAATGTTTTACATTGCCCAATAAAAACAACAGCATCTGTGCAACAAAAATGTTACATTAAGATGATATAACTGTGTGCTAAGAATGTCCCTTTAAAGGTTGTTCACTCCTAGAATCAAGTTATAACCAATGACAGAGAAATGTTGAAGGTTCCGCCCTTCCTATAACTAATAGCATATACCAATAACAGTGACATGCATATTTAGAAGTTGACTGAACTCATTTATATTTAATATATATTTAATATCCAACAATTCGGGTTATACATCTTAAAGTAGAACTATAAGAATTTTGTACAAAAGATTAGGTAAGTATAGGTAGTCATTGGTTGGGTTATTAATTAACTGCATCTACATTAGATTAGCCACGGCAGTGGCATAAACATTCGTCATGTGCATGTACAGTACTACTGAAGGCATGCTTGAATACACATGGCAGTGAAATTGCGCATAAAGCAGAAGTGTTTTTTTTCTTTCTGCACTTCACCTGTTTTCACTGTGGTCAACCCTGTGACAGGGTGCAGACCACTGACAGTTCCTCTTTAATAACCAAGCAGTCTATCTATTTTACAACCTAAAGATTAAAATAATTAAAGGGGGACAATAGTATCAGGAACACAAGCTATAGTTCTAAAACCACAGATTAGGAGGTCAGCCCCCCTTACCTTATTTTAGAAAGGTGATTTACTCATCTTTTTCAAGTGCCATGCTGGACCCCTCGCGTCTTGCCCTGCTCCCGATCCACCTCTATGGCTGACGTCATCAGAATTGATGATCTCAGCCAATAACAATCAAATCGACAATTCTGATGATCTCAGCCTAGAAGGTGGTTGGGGGCAGAGCCAAACGGTGCCCTGGCCAGTCAGCATCTCCTCATAGGGATGCATTGAATCAATGCATTTCTATGGGGAAAGTTCAGCATCTCCATGCAGAGGGTGGAGACACTGAACGTCAATCACACTGTGCAGCACTGGCCAAGTAGGCACCTCTAGCAGCCTAGGTGTTCTTAGACTGTAATGCAAACACTGCTTTTTCTATAAAATGGAAGTGAGTACAATCAGTCTTTTGAGGGGACTAATTATAATCACCAGAACAACTACATTAAGCTGTAGTTGTTCTAGTGACTATAGTGTCTGTTTAATAATTTATTGGATCATTTGAATGTTTTATTCAAGTTCTGTTCAGGATAATAATTCAAATTCTATTTGGACCTTTCTGCACATGTCTGTAAGTAGTCATGATTCACAAACAATCTACTAAAGTAACTGAGAAGAATTGTTCTACATTTGAATATATCAACACCGAACTGATTTATTTAGGAAAATGTGTGGCTTTTTCAAAATGAACCACTTACATTTTTTTATTATTATTTTTTTAAACAGCTTGTCAGACTCTTGTGTACTTTTCGTTTTACATCCATAGAAAAATGTCCAAATTCATTAAAATGAAACTGAGCACGTTTCTCGGTTTTCTTGGTGTGATACAAAGCCACCATTGATGTTAAGAGAGGGACATTAAAAAAACTTTAACATCATTTTAACACTAAACGGTCTCTGTGGGGTGCTGAATAAATAGACACAGTGAATTTATTACACTATCTTTGCATGTCTCAGCTCTAGTATGTTCAAGTAATTCTTTTTCTAAAACCCCCGTAGAATTTCTGATAATATATACTGCATAACCTGATCTGCATTATTTCCTTTTCAAAATCACAAATCAAAAGCCGTCCTATCATTACTCCTGCAGCGATTTAAAGAGAGCGCAAGACGACCATATTTCTGACAGCTTGTTCAGAGCTATGTGTTGACAACTGCAGTAAGTGGTGAGCAAGCCTTGGTGAAGTCCACGGCTTCTTTTCTGTTGTTGGCAAGCCTCTCTGTTTGGATTCACAGGATATTTTCATGTAAGATGATGCCATGAAATGTCTTCGTTATTCGCTTGAAATCTCTAGGCAGTCACTTTCGCAGGTGCTAAATAACTGCTGTGTAGTCTTATTTGGCTACTGGAAGAATAAAACAAGTCTGAGTGAGCAATGACATCCTCACATAACTTGCCAGGAGGTGTACAGTGCTGCACTGGGTACGCTGCTTTTTAGATTGTTGTCTATTTTAGATCATGTTCTTGCCATCAGGGCCGCCACCAGAAATTTTGAGGCCCCTAACTGAGATCACGGTCTGGGGGCCCGCCTCCAAAACCGCCCACAGAGACCGCCTCCAAATCCCGCCCACAGGAATACACACACAGACACAAACACATTCACTGATACAAAAGAACACAGATACACTCACACACACTGATACATACTAACAGACACACATACTGATATGCATAAAGGCATACATACTGACACACACATACTGAGACATACACACATATACAGACACACAGGCGTACATAGTGACAGACACATACTAACATACATACAGACACACATGCATAAGGACATACAGCCACATTCATAATGACATACAGACAGACATTCATACTGGCATACATACATTCATACAGACAGACAGACATGCACACATTCATAATGACATGCAGACATACATACACTGACATTCATACACACATAATGACATGCATACAGGCATACAGGCATACAGACATGCATACAGGCATACAGACATGCATACAGACATACATACAGACATACATACATACAGACATACATTCATACTGGCATACATACATTCATACAGACACTGACATCCATACATACACACATTCATAATGACATACAACAAACATTAATACTCGCATACATACATTCATACAGACAGACATACACACATTCATAATGACATGCAGATATACATACACTGACATTCATACACACATACAGACATGCATACAGACATGCATACAGACATACATACATACATACATACATACAGACATACATTCATACTGGCATACATACATTCATACAGACACTGACATCCATACATACACACATTCATAATGACATACAGACAGACATTCATACTGGCATACATACATTCATACAGACAGACAGACATACACACATTCATAATGACATACAGACATACATTCATACTGGCATACATACATTCATACAGACAGACAGACAGACATACATACACACATTCATAATGACATGCAGACATACATACACTGACATTCATACACACATACAGACATGCATACATACAGACATACAGACATGCATACAGACATAAAGACATACATACAGACATACATACATACATACATACAGACATTCATACATGCAGACATACATACAGACATACATTCATACTGGCATACATACAAGCATACAGACACTGACATCCATACATACACACATTCATAATGACATACAGACAGACATTCATACTGGCATACATACATTCATACAGAATGACAGACATACATACACATATTCATAATGACATACAGACATACATTCATACTGGCATACATGATACATTCATACAGACAGACAGATATACATACACACATTCATAATGACATGCAGACATACATACACTGACATTCATACACACATAATGACATGCATACAGACATACAGACATGCATACAGACATGCATACAGACATAAAGACATGCATACAGACATACATACATACATACATACATACAGACATACATTCATACTGGCATACATACATTCATACAGACATACATACACACATTCATAATGACATACAGACATACATTCATACTGGCATACATACATTCATACAGACAGACAGACATACATACACACATTCATTATGACATGCAGACATACATACACACATTCATAATGACATACAGACATACATTCATACTGGCATACATACATTCATACAGACAGACATACATACACACATTCATAATGACATACAGACATACATTCATACTGGCATACACACATTCATACAGACAGACAGACATACATACACTGACATTCATACACACACACAGCTAATTTTCCAGCCACCCTCCTGTTTCTTACCTTTTCTTTGCAGGAGGGTGGCTGGGGCTGATGGGACTGGGAGTCGGCTGGCTCTCCCTCTTCATTGCCGGGCGCACGCTCCTCCCGCGCGGAGTGAGCTGGGAGGAAGTGACCACTTCCTCCCAGCAGCACTTGCGCTGCGGCGGCATTTTTTTTTTTAAAGGGGCCCGGTCGCGCTATACCACGGCCACAGCGCTGACTGGGACCCTGAATATATAGGGCCCATCGGGTGGCCCTAAGTGTGTGGGCCACCCAATGGGCCCCATCAGCATGCGTTGTCACCCCCTGATGGCGGCCCTGCTTGCCATTGCTATGCTGAATAGTTCTTAAGCTCCAACCAGAGTTGGTTTCAGATTCTGTAGGTAGGTGATCAAATTATGCTCCTATGCATTTCAAAGCTTGTACAAACATAGTATACTCTATGCCAGTGCTCCTCAAGCCTCTCCTCAAGGCACACCTAGCAGTTCAGGATTTAGGGATTACCTGGTTGTGTGTAAGGTGTTTAGAAAAAGGGGGAAAAAACACCTTAGAGTCTATGGTGTTTATTTTTATTTTTTTAACACCTTAGACACACCTGGGTAATCTCTAAATCCTGATCTATTAGATGTGCCTTGAGGAGAGGCTTGAGGAGCACTGCTCTATACCATCCTTTCCTTTAAATATATCAACCCACCACCCATATTTTCCACACGTCGCACCCAGAGTCCTACTATGACCTTCAGGATTAAGATAGGACCTTGGTAATGGAACCACTGGCAGAAGATGCAATTCCTGCTATGCTGATAATATTGAACGCTGCTCCTATACTTTAAAACAGAATTTGCGTTGGACAATAGAAGCGTGCATGCAATATAAATAAACACGACTAGCCAGCTGTGTTTCATTGTTACCAAAATGCTCAGTCCAGGTTCACCGGTGAAACGTAGAAATCCCATGCAACTGATTGTGTTTTTATTTTTCACTTCATGTCCTGTTACCTCTAAATAACATTATGTTTAAATATCATACAGAGTATACCTTGCTAAGTGCACATGTATACTGCTCAGTAGTGAGCACTAGGCATGACCCATGTTGTCACAGGCTGTAGGCTGATAACAAATTAACTGTGAACCTAAGATACTTTTTTTTTTTGCCATGCTGTTATTTTAGAAAAAAAATCAGGCTCTGTAACATTATTTAAGATTAACAGTGAGTTTATTCAATGGACTGAATTAGTTTCCATTTCTCATTCTTTGGTGAAGGGATACAAATCTTTTCACACTCAGTTTACTAACTTGCTGGCAGAGCTCCATAGGAGTAGCTGCCCACTGCAGCTGGAGTGCTGAGTGTTGCTTATTCTTGATTTAGGATATTTCCACCATAGAGGGTAGACAGATCAGCGATGTCTATCCCGCACAGTAAAAGGGACAAGCTTCCCCCAGTCATAATCTTTTTATAGTCAGGCTGATATTAGAGTGAAATGTCTTGTAAACCTCAAATGTACAGAGATATGATGTCATATTCCCGTGCCCTTATGTACTAGACACCGTGGGCCTGCATGAGATGGAAAGATGAGAAAGTACTGATGTTGATTTATCTGGATAGAGTTCTGAGATTATCCATCAGAGGTTATAAAGAAAGGTTAACAAATTTAAATCTCTTTAGTTTGGAAAAACAACGCCTCAGAGGGGATATGATAGCATTTTATAAATATATTCAGGGCCAATAAAAACCATTGCCTGAAAATTTGTTCATAAACAGGACTCACATTTAGAGTGGTAGAAATGAGATTTAGCTTAAGGCAAAAGAAAGTTTTTTTACAGTAAAAACAATAAGGATGTGGAATTCTCTGCCTGAAGAGGTGGTTTTATTAGAGTCTATACATATGCTTAAACAGCAATTAGGTAAATACTTGCATAAACATAATATACAGGGATATCATTTTTAATTAGTGGGATAATAGCTTCTTGGTCCAATGAGATATCAAACTGCCATTCTGGGGTCAAGGATTGTTTTCCTAGTTTATAGGCAAAATTGGATCTGCTTAAGACTGGGTTGTTTGCCTTCTTTTGGTTGAAACAGCAAAAACAAATGTGAGAAAGGGTGTACTTGACAGGTACATTTTCAGCTATGTAGCTATGTAAGGCAAACCTCCCCGTGCATGGCTGGTCTGACTGAAGCAAAAACTGATATCTCTCTGATATGACTGACTGAAGCAAAAACTATCTCACTTGGTCACTATTATTTTGAACACCTATGACTAAGTGCTACTAAATGTTTAAAATATGTCAATTTAGACTGTGAAGTGGTGACAACTGGATTTTGGGTGCTAATCTAATTTATTTTTTTGACACAGTATGCGGTAACCCTAACAAGCCTGTTTGCTCTTTAATGATGTGTTCAGCTGATGCTGGTATTTTAGTTTGAGTCCCTGAAGCAGATCCCTCTCAAGGTGAGTATACCGCAACATAAAAACCAGCACTTAGAGTGGCCGGGCTTAACGTTATAAAGAAAAAGAACCGTCTGAGAAGTCAGGGACAGGCCGGAGTCAAGGATCAGAGAAGCAAGCCAAAGTAATGGAGAGCAGAAATCAGACTAAAAAAGGAGTAGAGCCGAGTAAAACCACAACAAGACAAAAACATATGGGAGTAGCATCGCTGGAATGATGTCATGCGGTCCGATACAGCACCAGAAATCGACACGTGCTCAAGGAGGTATAAGACGCCAGAGAAGGAGAGAAGCCCCTTCTTCTTTCTTCAAAATTTCCTTTTAATCAATTATTTGTGAATCAAAAAGAAAACTGAAATAACAAAAAAACAAAAATATGTTTGTGTGTGTATATATATATATATATTTTTTTTTTTTTTTTTTTAAATACATGCTCATGGCTTCAATAGAACCTAAACATTTTATAGATTTCCACCATTTGAGTGCCCGCAACCACCAAGAACCACACTATATCCATAGGCGGGGATTGTTCTGCCCAGGCGTTCAAGTTTGAGCTACAATTTTAACTCCAGGAAATTGTGAGTGTATTTCTTTTGTTTTTCTTTTTCTTCCTGCTTTTATATATATTTTTAAAGGACATTTTAGGCGCTGCACCACTCCTTGTATTTTCATCTGTTTGTGGACGGGACGAGAGACCCCAGCTCCGTTGATTAAGCTGCCGTTTGGACTGTTCCATTATTGCTTGGTGCTGAATACCCTTTAGCTTTTTTTCGATTTTTTTTCAATTTTAGGGATGTGCATGGGCAAAGAATTTGGCTCGGTTTGGTTCGGAAATTCGGGTAAGTAAAAAAATGTGTCTGCTTCGGCAATTCAGACCAATGGCATTCAGTTCTGCACTTCGGAACTGCCGAACATCGTCACTTCGGAACTTCGGCGCTTCGGAACTTCCCATGTGTGTACTCTGTATGGCTACAAACGAGAATTAATGAAGCCCAGTGAAAATAATCATAAGACTACATTTGGTATATAAAAAAATATATACTTTTGTGAATTATGCTTTACAGCTATTTATAATCCTGCACGGTTGGAGAAACATTTCCATTAAAGATTGAATCTATTGTTTTGCGCATAAGCATTTCTGACGTATTGTCTAACTGTTAAGACATAGACCAGAAATGATGCAACCATAGTAGTAATAATTGACTTACAACTTTTACTTTTGCTAGATTTTTCAGAACATTTGACGTTAAAATTTTATACCAAAATACCGTATTAGAATAATTCCCCAAAACAATGTGTGAAAACAAGACAGTTTTCTCTCATTTGTGAAATGATAAAATTGCGTGGCTGTAACCCTGACTTGCAAATAAAGCAATCTGGTACTGGTTTGACTGGGGCTATTGAAACACTATGTAGTTTTGAAAGAGTGAATGGGAGATTTTGCATTGCACTTTGTATCCTTGTTTAATTGGCTGAGAGTTTCTTGTGTTAACACACAAACAGAAGGAGAATGATTCCTGCTTCTAATTAGCAAACTTGGGAAAAAGTGACGAATGCCAACATATGTTTGGGATGCAAATGACACTTTGGGTGGTATGCTCAAAGTCTGCCTAAGTGGGTCTTTAAAAAACAAAAAAATAACAGCTCTATGTGAATTGTTGTAGCATAAAATATGCATATATGAAGAATTGATCATTAAACACTCCAAACATATATATACATTACTATTTTAGTGTGCTTGTGCGTTCCTGGTTTTTAAATAAAGTTCAACTATTTATTAAAACCAACTTTTACTTATCCATTTTTGTTGTTATTGTTGAGTTTATTATTTATATGCAGAGCCAAGTTGGACTGCTTTGTGATGTCCATAATCTTTATAAAAGTAGCAGAAATACAAGCAAGTCTTACTGGCTCTTAAGTCCTCCCACAAATTAAGCCATCGATCATTATTGACTGGCATCACCTCGCACAGTATGAACACTGTGACATCAGAGATCTGGCAAAATAGGCTTTTTATAGCATCCTGAATGTGGGTAAGGACAAGATGAATTGATAGGCATTATGTTGAGGTAAGCATTTACTAGTTTTAAATTTGGGGGTCGTGGCAACTGGAAAAATAAATAAAAAAAACAAAACAGTCTCACTGTAATATGAGCTATCTCCTATCATTAATTTCTCTCAATTGGCTTTTCATTGTCTATTCAACTAGTGATTGGTACTGTGCTCAAGAAAGCAAAGGTGCCTGATATATATGTTAAAGGGACACTCCAGGCACCCAGACCACTTCTGCCCATTCGAGTGGTCTGGGTGCCATCTCCCGCTACCCTTAACCCTGCAACTGTAATTATTGCAATTTTCATAAACTGCAATATTTACCTTGCCGGGTTAACTCCTCCTCTAGTGGCTGTCTGCTAGACAGCCACTAGAGGGCACTTCCTGCTTCATAGCACAGGTTTTCTGTACTAGAGCATTGCTGGACATCCTCACGCTGTGTGAGGACCTCCAGCGTCGCTCAATTCCCCATAGGAAAGCATTGCAGCATTGCCGCGCATGCGCATTAGGTCTCCTCAGCCGGCGGGATCAGTCTCCCCCACCGGCTGAAGTGACGTGATGAAGGGGAGGAGAGGCGACGACCCGAAACCACCGCCGAGGAGGTCTCAGGTAAGTCACTGAAGGGGTTTTCACCCCTTCAGCAACTGGGGATGGGTGGTGGGAGGGAGATGGGACCAGTAGTGCCAGGAAAATGGATTGTTTTCCTGGCACTGGATAGTCCCTTTAAAGGAACACTTTAGGGCCAGGAACACAAACATGCATTCCTGACCCTATAGTGCTAAATCCACCATTTAGGTGGCTTCCCCCCCTTAGATAAGGTGAAAACTCAACTTATTTTCAGCGCCGCATGGTTTGGCCGAAACAAGCTGCGCCCCTGACCCACCTCCTTGGTGACATCATCAGAATTTACGATTTTTAGCCAATCCAATTCTTTCCTATAGGAAAATGATTGGATTGGCTGAAAACGGCAAGGAGGTGGGATGGGTGTTGAACCAATGCAAAATACAGCGTCTCCATGCAGAGCAGAGCATGGAGATGCTGAATGACAGTGCTGCCTACTGTGCAGCACTGCCCCAGGAAGCACCTCCAGTGGCCATCTGAGGAGTGGCCACTTGGAGGTGTCCCTAGGGGGCAATATAAACACTGCTTTTTCTCTGAAAAGACAGTGTTTGCATGAAAATGCCTGAAGGCAATGATTATACTCACCCGAACAATTACAGTAAAGGAGCACTATAGAGTCAGGAACACAAACATGTATTCCTGACCTTCTAGGGTTAAAACCACCATTCAGCCACCCTGGTCCCCTCATGCCTCCCTAAATATTGTAAAATCTTACTTGTATTCATGTCTGGAGCTGCATGCTTTGTCACTGTTTCCTTTAGACCTGCCCACTGCCTGCTGACATTAGCAGAAGTGGTAGCCTGATCCAATCACAATGCTTCACCATAGGACTCTGCCGAGACTGACAAAGAGGCAGATCAGGGGCAGAGCCAGCACAATTCAAGCACAGCCCTGGCCAATCAGCATCTCCTCATAGAAAATTAATTGAATCAATTAATCTCTATGAGGAAAGTTCAGTGTCTGCATGCAGAGGGAGGAGATACTGAATGTTTGGATGCATTTTAGGCAGCCATGACCCAGGAAGGATCTCTAACAGCCATCTGAGGAGTGGCCAGTGAAGTTATCACTAGGCTGTAATGTAAACACTGCATTTTCTCTGAAAAGACAGTGTTTACAGCAAAAAGCCTGAAGGCAATGATTCTACTCACCAGAACAAATTCAATAAGCTGTAGTTGTTCTGGTGACTATAGTGGCCCTGTAAGCTGTAGTTTTTCTGGTGACTATAGTGTCTCTTTAAGTCTTTAATTTAAGAAACACTCTAAGCACCATAACTTGTGAACAATTTGACAACTTAGCTGGAGTCCGCCAGGCACCGCCTCCTCTGCCCCTGGAAGCTTCTGCACTAAAATAAGCCAAGTAGTGCAGGGTTAAGCTCATTGAGTTAGAACTGGCCCTGTGTGGCAGGGCCTAGCTCAGTGGAGTTAACAGAAGCTCCTTGTTGGAGAAGGCAAACAGCTTCCAATGGATTCCAGCTAAAATGTCACACCATTTGCAAACTGTTTGAATACTTAGTACTTAGCAAGGGCGCTCCTAGCATAATCTCTATTGTGGACTGTAGTAGCTATGGTGCTTGGAGTGTTCAGAGGAATCTGTTGACTGAGTTGTGGGACTTAAACAATTTAGGCTTAAACAAAACCCATGCTGGGAAAAATCTCCAACTTGGACAAGATAGATATTTGTTTTGAACCTTGTTTTTGTGTTAAAGGAACACTCCAGACACCATAGCCACCTAATCTCAAGTGTTATTGTAGAGACTAGCGTCCCCTGGCATGATCTTACCATCCAGTGTCAAAATACTTTTAAAGCACACATCATGCTTCTTCTTCTCCAGTTCTCCAGCTAATGTGGAAGTGTAAGCTCGATCAAATAGGCATCAGCTGCGTAATCATACATAGATTTTTAAGCAGTACTTGCAGTGGGGGACCAGTGATAACAGCCAGAGCATTGTCTGATGCTCTCATCCTCTCTCCACCACACTCCTTCACTGCATTAGCCAATCACCAGAAAAGAGGCAGCATGACAGGTGCCTTCTTTGTTACACTAGTTCATTGAGATGAAGTGATCCCTTGACAGACAACTGTCTATCTCTAGAGATTACACTACTCAAATAAATATTGAAAATTGCCTATAAACATACTCGTTTTCCTGGCACTATAGTGCCCTGAGGGTGCCCCCACCCTCAGGGTCCCACTCCCGCTGGGCTGGATGGCGAGGAAAGGGTTAAATCTTACCTTTTTTTCCAGCGCCGGGCGGGGAGCTCTCCGCCTCCTCTCCTCCTCTTCGGCTGATTGCGCACGCGCATCTGGAGCTGCGCGAGCGCGCATTCAGCCAGTCTCATAGGAAAGCATTCATAATACTTTCCTACGGACGCTTGCATCTTCTCACTGTGATTTT